TATCTATCTATCTATCTATCTATAGATAGATAGATAGAGATATATATATATAGTGGTGAATAGGATTGATACAAATAATTGCTTTTAAATAGGTATTCCTTAAATATTTCTTAAAAGTATTTATTGACAAAATAAACAAATGTAATGATATTAAAATGTCCATTTGCTAAAGAGGACATTAAAGCTAAATTATGTTTTTAGTATATCATTACTCTTCTTTTCCAGTCTTTTCTGTCTTTATTAGATTCAACAAATATAATTTTACAATAACTGAGTGTTCTCAAGGAGATACCAGACAAGCACATGCCAATTTCCTCTGATATTTTTTTAGTTCCATAGGAAAACAAAACTCATGTAGATTTGATCTCATCAGAGCTATTTCACATTCTGACTTTGTCATGTCATAGAAAGGAATTTTCAACTTTTTTTTTTTTTCATTTAACTTGGGAGAAACAGACTATCAACCCTATCCCAGTTATTTCCAGTGGGGCATATGGTAGATTATAAAATGGCCAGTGGAAGTAATTATTCCTCCCTTTGAAGCTAAGCTTGTTTATGTGACTTATTTTGACCAAAGTAATTAAAGAAAATATTGTAACAGCAGAATGTTGCTCACACATTGAGACTTGCCTTCTCTTGTCACACTCAAGAACTCTGAGACCACCATGGAAAACTAGCATGAACTTGCCTGCAGAAAAATTAGAGTTCATGAGAAGGAAAACTAAGATGTCCAGCAGAGAGTCAGCCAACTGTTAGACATGTTAGTAAAAACAAGTTGCTGTCAAGTGATTCTGACTCCTGGTGACCTCATATGTATCAGGGTAGAACTGTGTTACATGGGGTCACTGGCTGAGTTTTTTGGAAGTAGATCTCCAGGCCTTTCTTCTGAGGCATCTCTGGGTGAACTGGGACATCTAATCTTTTGGTTAATAGCCAAGTGCATATGAACCACCAGAGGGTAAGGTTATCCAAATTCTCCAGATGCAACATATATTAAATCAAGCTGTAGAAGCATGTAAAAGCCTAGCAGAAAGCATTTGAGTTGGTTCATACAAGAACTGCCCAGCTGATCTAGAGAATCATGGTCAGATTCTCTAGGTCAGATTATGAAAAATGGTTTTTATAAGCCATTGTGTTTTTGATTGTTTTGTTATGAAGTGAAAGCTAAATGTTACAAATATTAGCCATGAACCCTTGAACATTGATTCTACTCCATCACAAGGAGTACATTTCTTAAGTTTAGTACCAAAGTACAAACCCCAGGTCCTCTTCAGCAACTTAGAGTCATACAGGTATATGTTGTGATCTCTTATACAGCCCATCTGGTTCTGTGTCATGGAGCTCTGGTGGTATAGTGCCTAAGGCATCTGACTACTAACCAGAAGGTTGGTGGTTCAAACCCACCAACAACTCTATGGAAGGAAGATGGGGCAATCTACTTCTGTAAAGGTTTACCACATTGGAAACGCAATGGGGGTTGCTATCAGTAGGAATTGACTCGATGCAATGAGTTTTTTTGTTTTTTATTTTTTGGTTCTGTGTCTTGTGGTAATCACAATGTACATATAGGAAAATCCCTCATTTATAATATATTTTTGAAGGTACTAGGCTGTCAGACTATACAGCCTTTTAGTTGTAATGGCATGTTTGTTCAGTCAAAAGAGACACTTACATTTAATATATTCACTTTCAAGTATCATTCTGAATGTAAAACATACAATTAAATAACATCAGAAGGTTGTGCCATTTTATACCATTTCAGTGAACTGGTTTTCATTTACAAACTTCACGTACACATTTTGAGTGGATCTTCTGATTGATAAAATAAAAATACTACATGCTATTCCTCTGCCCAACATCTTCATCAGCTTCTGGGTGTTTCATTATGAATCATGATCATCTGATGAACCTGATTACTGATTTCCCTTTAGAAATAGACCATTTTTTCTACATGAGATGAACTATAGAATCAGCCAATTATTTTGGCTTTAGTTTTATTTCATATCTATTAAACTTGTCTTTAATTAATCCATGTATCAAGTATTGTTATAAATATTATTTAATTGAGAAAACAGGAAAAATTGCTTAAAATATTAATCATCTTAATTATTTTCTTTTATAATTTTGAAAAAAGTGGCCAATGGAATGTTCTAGTTAACCTAATTTATGACAATCACTTACACCATAATGCTTATATACTGCATAATCAATAGATGCATTTGGAGATCTTAAAAAGAGCTAAGACATCGATATTGTACTATAAAGATATTTTTACATAATCAGATTGGTGCACATATTAATATAAATAGTAATATTTTTGTCTCTTTGAAGCCTCATCCCCAATTTTATGGTTTTAAATAATATACCCTTTTTCACTTGTTTCAATACTGTATAAATAATATATGCTGATAAGTTTTTGTAATTAACAATCATGCAGTCCTATAATTTTATTAAAATTATAAAAAATAAATAAAATATGTCTATCTTAAGACTAAGGAGCTCTGGTGGTGTACTGGATAAGGCATATGGGTGCTAACCAGAAGGGTCAGCAGTTCAAACTTGCCAGCCAATCCATGCAAGGAAGATGGGGCAATCTACTTCTCTAAAGATTTACAACCTCAGAAACCTAATGAGTGTGGCTATGTATTGGGATTAGGAGCTCTGGTAGCATAGTGCCTAAGGCACATAACTGCTAACCAGAAGACTGGTGGTTCAAACCCACCAATCACTCCTCGGAAGGAAGATGGGGCAATCTACTTCTGTAGTGATACTGCCTTGGAAACTCAAGGAGGGGCCCCTATGAGTAGGGTCTGACTGGACAGCACACAACAACAACAACACAACATGTGTTGGGATTGATTTGATAGCAGTGAGTTTGATTTTTGGTTTGGTATCATAAGACTCAACATTCAATCTTTGTAGACCACTATTTTTATTTGACTCACACTTATTCTTTCTTCCTTATCATCAATTCTAATTTTATCTTTTTTCCAGTAAATAGTGGGTTCAGGGTGTCCCCGGGGAGGCTGGCATTCCAGGATCGCAGGCTCTCCAGCTGCCACAACAACATCTGTGGGGTTTTGCCGGAAGTCATCTCGTAACACTGAAGAAAAATAGAGGAAAAGAAAACTCAGTTAACAATGACTTCAGCTTTCTATTGCAAATAGTAACTTTAAGTCTTATTTGTTCTGATAAAATAAATAAATAAAAGCCAGAATATTTAGTGAATAGAGTCATAACCATATGAAAACATTCTAGATCCTTCCTAAACACTCATCAACTGAGGTATGGCCACATATGTGATGGTGCATCTTTGTTCTGAAATCAAATTTAAAAATTGACAATCAGTCTGAGGAAAATAAGATGAGAAATATTAGGCATATAGTATTGAGATTTTTTAAAAAGCAAGATGCAGAGCTGTTTATGCAGTGTGATTCTCTAAAAGGACAATACATATACTTATACCTATATAAATACAGTAAGGTAAATGTTAAAATTATAATAAAACCCTGAATCACATTGCAAGAATGTTGTCTGTGAGCACGTATGTGTGTCAGTCTGTGAGAGGTGAGGTGAGAACTCTTTGGAAAAGCTCCTTCTCATGACATGAATATGGACAAGAGCCACGCTGCTTTCATTACACTTCATAAGATAGACTTATTGTTCACCCTTGCAACGCACTAGCACCCACATACACAGGGCTACATTTTCATTCTTTCTGCATATCCACCTGCCGAGCGACATCTGGGCAGCGTGACATTCTGAACAGAGATATCCCTTATAGCAGTTTTGCCAGTCTAAATTCCCCCTCCTTTCATTAAGGAGAACAGCAGGTTGGACCTCCCTTGCAACCTCCAAAAATCTGGCATGCCAGGCTCTCCAAATGTCACCTATCTATCTGATTGTGCTTTTTTGCTACTGGCAAGATGAAAAGCCTGGAGAAGTGACTAGGCCCTTATCAGATTGCAGAACACTGGGTTCATTTAGCAAATAAAGGCAATATGTACTTCAGGGTAAGCCTTCAAAAAAGTAGTTGAGAGCAGTTAATTTACCATAAACCCCAAATTATCTCTGCTTTACATATTCTTTGATATTTCAACACTGACAAATTTGGTTTCAAAGTGTACCCAGGGGTACAACACACACAAACAATTACATGTATATGTATGTATATATACATAGGAGCTCTGTTGTTGTTGTTGTTATGTGCCATCAAGTCGGACCCAACTCATAGCGACCCTTCCTTGGGTTTCCGAGGCAGTACCACTATGGAAGCAGATTGCCCCATCTTCCTTCCAAGCAGTGGCTGGTGGGTTTCAACCACCAGGTTTCTGGTTAGCAGTCAAGTGCCTTAGGCACTACACTACCAGAGCTCCTTAGTAGCTCTAGTAGTGCATTAGTTCAGAGTCAGTTGCTAACCAGAAGAAATATTGCCAGGCTCAACATCCCCAGCAGCTCTATGGGAGAAAAGACCTGGCAATCTGCTTCCATAAAGATTTCAGCTAAGAAAACCATATGGGGGCAGTTTTTCTCTATTACATGGGAGCGCTGGTGGACTGCTAACCAGAAGGCTGGTGGTTCAAACCCACCAGCCACTCCTTAGAAGGAAGGTTGGGCAATCTACTTCTGTAGTGATACCGCCTCGGAAACCCAGTGAGGGGTCGCTATGAGTGGGATCCAACTCAAGGGCAGTGTGCTATGAGTAAAAATTCACACACACACACGGCATTGGTAGTTCAGTGGTTGAATCCTTGCTTTCCATGTAGGAGACCTTGGTTCCATTCCCAGCCAATACATCTCATACACAGCCACCATTCTACTATCAGTGGAGGCTTGCATGTTGCTATGATGCCAAACATGTTTCAGTGGAGCTTACAAATTAAGATAGACTAGAAGAAAGGCTAGGAAGAAAGGCCTAGAGATCTACTTCCAAAATTCAGCCAATGAAAACCCCAGAAACACAAGGGTCCTATCTGCAGTTTATCATGGTGATGGCCCAGGACCAGGCAGGCATTTAGTCACCATGAGTTGGGACCAATAGAAGGAAGCTAACAACAATGTGTATGTGTGTATGTGTGTGTGTGTGTAATTGGTCAAGCTGTTTGAAATAAAAATTAGGCAGCTTGTGCTAGCCTCTTATGTAAATCATCTGCTGCAAATGGGGATTAGGTCAAACCAACTGCCTTCTGTGTTCTGTAATGAGACCCACTTCAGCACTCTGCTTCTTTGTTGTGCCAAGTCTCTAGGTTAATTGCCATTCTCCAAATAAATAAAAATCCCTGTCCAGAAAATAGCTCCAGAGAGACAACTGAGTGGCATTCAAAGCTTTTCTTTTCTTGCCTTTTGCAACACATCCTTTAACACGGTTTTTCATTTTAATGAAGTCATGGCCCTTTAGGAGATTAGAGAACCTTGTCTACTATTGAAGGAGCAGTAAGAAAGAACTCAGCACAAATTGTTCACTCTCAGCTTATAAACTGATTAATTTACTCCTTTAGCTGCTAAGGAAATGTGTTCCATTTTAGCACTGTGAACCACACATTTCAGGTCCCCTTGCCTTGTATAACTGGCAAAAAAAAGTGTGATTTATATGCATAGGATTTTCTTCTGAATGGGCTGAGAGAAGTGTGCAGTTAGATGTGACATTCTAGTGATGAGAAGGGGTTAATGCTGTGGTTCCCTCTTGCAGGTAAATTCTTCAGGGACAGCAAGCTGGTGACTCATTTACATTCTAAATACAGAGCAGCTGCCTGTTTATGCAATGTTAAGAAGTGCAAAAATATGGTAACAGGGTGATGAGCACTCCTACAATATCCGGTACTGGCAACAAATGGTGTTTTGGCAGGCCCTCAATCTGTTCTAAAATGGCACATCTGGACAGTTGAAGAGCCTAATCCAGAATTGGTCTCCTAAAAAAATGACATGCCAAAAACTCTCAGCTTAAAATGTACTTAAGACCAGGGCAAATCCTTTAGAAATGCAGTGTTGCTGAATTGCAACAAAACAAATTAAAAGGGAGAAAAAAAAAAAAAAAGCCTTTGACTTGGGGGACATGGGGGACAAAAAGGAGAAAAATATCATAACAAACTGTAAGGCCTGCTACTGTTAAACAATATAACATGTGTTTATGGCATTCATAAAAAAGAAAGAAAGAAAGAAAGAAAATGACTCCAATTTGCAAATGAAGCCAAGAAATCTAACAGCAAGTGTAATTTCAGGCTTTCAGACTATTCACCCTGAGTGTTGGGTGAGATAATGACATAATTGGTACTGTACCCTCTTCAACTTGTAAAACGCCCTTTGGGATTTGTTCAGTACTCAGTGAATTCATTTTTATTTATTGATACTATTCCTTTTACTCCACATCTTTTTGATAGCAAAATGTGATCATGTTCTCTCTCAAAACATCCAAGAAACAAGATTCCACTTTTCATCAGGCTCTAGCACAGCAAATGACAGCAGAGATTATTGTTAGGATACAGTAAAGTAATTTTTCATCTTCTCAAAATGTAAAGAAGGATATGTATGTTCTGATATTTGTTTATATGTTTCTGAGGTTTGTGTATGTATTTATAAACATGAGCAAAGTAAAATGAAATAATATTTATCTGTTTCAATTGATGTGCCAATTAGTAATTTCTGTCTCAGATTTTGTCTTCTTTAGGGAAAGGATGGGAGCTCTGGTGGCTGGATACACCTGGGTTGGATGAAAGAAATCAAAATGGCTGAGTAAGTTTTGGGGAGCTCTGGTGGCATAGTGTTTAAGGCATTTGACTGCTAACCAGAAGGCTGGTGGTTCAAATCCACCAGCCACTCCTCTGAAGAAAGGTTTGGCAATCTACTTCCATAGTGATACTGCCTCAGAAACCCAAGGAGGGGTCTCTATGAGTCAGATCTGACTTGGTGGCAGTGAGTTTGGTTTTTGGTTTGTAAATTTGGAAGAGCAAAGCAAGCCCAAAGTGAGTCTATACTTTTTGTTCTCCTTAATCCTCTATTATAGAACCAACTGAACGATGTATTTCAAGTAAGCCATAGCAAGTAGGTGCAGCAACATATGTATTATTTAAACCTCCAAAGATGTCTTTAAATAGAACGAAAGGAAACAAACTTGATGTACTGGGAAAAAACATACAAACAAACAAAAACTGGTTACAATGAAGAAGCAGTACATTGTACTTCAAAGAAAGAGGGTATAAATAGGTGTGCTTTTTTATATAATACTTGTTTGCAGATCTCAGTGAAGAATACAAGGTTAAATGTAACCTGAAGGAAAGAATAAGACTGGAATATGGCTGGAGAAGAAGCCCTGGTGCCACACTGATTAAGTGCTCAGCTGCTAACTGAAACTTTGGTGGTTCCAACTCAACAGCAGCTGAGATAGAGAAAAGATCTGGCAATACACTTAATGAAAACCTATGGGGCAGTTCTACTTTGTCCTTTCGGGTCACCATGATGCAGAAAAACTCTCCAGAAATGACATTAGTTTAAATGGCTAGAATCCAGATGTTGTTTTCAGTATATAAGGTGAAAGGTACACATGAGAGTGCACCTAACTAGTTCCAAAACAATATAACCTGCATTTCATTTGCACATTTTTCATGTTGACAATGGACTATGATTTGGAAGTTATTCTGAAAGATCAGAAAATTCTTCTTTACTAGTGTGTTAAAAACAAAAAATCATTTTAATTAAATTAAATTATGCGTTGTCCTTTCAGTTGGTTAAGAAACATAAAATAAGAATGACTTGATAGTTCCTGTGGTAGGCTGCTTCTAAAATGGCTACCAACCATCTCTGGCTCCTGGTATTCACTACCTTGTGTAATTCCCTTTCCTAGAGTGTGGGCTGCCTTTGATGAACAGAATATCGCAAAATGATGCCATGTAAATTCTGAGATTAGGTTATAAAAGGTTGGGACTTTGATCTTTTCTCTCTCTCTTTTCCTCTTCTTCTATCTCCCTCTAGGTTCTCTGCATCCCCACCCCCTTCAGGCTCTTCTCATTTGCTTGCTCTGATCAAGTAAAATTTCACCTTGCCCTATGGAGAGGCCCACTTGGCAGAATTCTTAAGGACACTTCTGGCCAATAGCCAGGGAGAAACTGA